GGCCACAGGGAGCTGCTGCCGGGCATGGCCCGGGCGGGTGGCTGGGGGGTGCAGAGGGAGGTGTCTGGCACGAGGGCAGCATCAGTGGGATGCATCAGGGTGGATTGTTTTTGGGGCCGCTGGCTGGTAGCGAGGTGGGGGTCTCCCCGTGCCCCCAGCATCCCGCCCTGCCCACAGGTCGCTGGGCGTCACCATCTGGGAGCTGTTTGAGCTGGGCAGCCAGCCCTACGACCACTACTCCGACCGGCAAGTGCTTGCCTATGCCATCAAGGAGCAGCAGCTCAAGCTGCCCAAGCCCCAGCTGAAGCTGTCGCTGTCGGAGCGCTGGTGAGGACCTGGGCCGGGCTGCGGCTGCATCCTGCCCCCTCCCTCTCCCCATCCCCAGGCGGGCGGGGGGCCGGGGCTGACCCCCACCCTTCGCCGCGGCAGGTACGAGGTGATGCAGTTCTGCTGGCTGCAGCCGGAGCAGCGCCCGACGGCGGAGGAGGTGCACCTCCTGCTCTCCTACCTCTGCGCCAAAGGGGCGACGGAGGCGGAGGAGGAGTTCGAGAAGCGCTGGAACTCCATGAAGCCCAACGGCAGCGCCAGTGCCAGCCACCACGGCGCCGAGCTTTCCTCCTTCCCGCTGCTGGAGCAGTTCTCGGCAGACGGCTTCCCCTCAGACGGGGACGACATCCTCACCGTCATGGAGACCAGCCACGGCCTCAATTTCGAGTACAAGTGGGAGCACACCAAGACCGAGCACTTCCAGGCGCCCCTGGGGTCCCTGAGCCCCAGCAGTGCCGCCCGCTACCACGACCTCTACTACCCAGCCACAACCGCGGGGCGCCTGAGCCTGGGGGTCTCGCCCTCCTGCTACGAGTGCAAGCCACCGGGCTGCCCCGGCCTGCCGGCACCTGGCGTGGTGCCCATCCTGGGCCGCCCCTTCTCTCGGCAGCGAGTACTACATCCGCATCGAGGGGCCCGGGGAGGGCAGCGCTGAGCTGGATTACACCATGTGCGCCTACAGCCCTGCGGGCGAGCGGGGCTCCCCGCGCCCCCCGTCCTGCTGGAGAGCCCAGGGTGCCCATGGCAGCGCCTGCGACTCTGACAGCAGCCCCACCGTCTCCCTCAGCATGGAGCCGCTGCTGGGCCATGCGCCGGCAGGTGAGGGCTCCTGGGAGTGCGCTGAGTACTACCCCTACCCCTGCCCGGGGCAGGAGCCGCGGGGTTACGAGCCATCCCCCAGCCACGGGGCTGAGGGGTACCTGCTGGAGGAGGAGCCTGCCCAGCCGGGCAGCCAGGACTGGCCCGTCCCTGGCTTCCAGCCCAGCATCTTTGCCGACCCGCTGGGTGTCTCCCCATCGGTGAACTGCGCCTACAGCCCCCAGGGGTACGGGGATCCGCGGGCAGCCCCGCCGGGCGGGCGGCTGCCGGGGCAGAGCGGGGCCCGTCCGGACTGCGTGGCACTGGAGCTGGGCGAGGACAGCCCCCCCGGAGCCCCCTGCCCACAGGGTGTGAGCCCCCCGGCTCAGCGGCATCCTTGGGCCTCCAACAGCTCCTCCAACAACAACATCGGCAGGGGCAG